GCCTCTCCTCATAAGTCATGTGTTCCAGTCCCCTAATCATTTTTGTTGTCCTCCGCTGGACTCTTTCCAATTTTTCCACATCCTTCTTGTAGTGTGGGGCCCAAAACTGGACGCAGTACTCCAGATGAGGCCTAAACCAATGTCGAATAGAGGGGAATGATCACGTCCCTCGATCTGCTGGCAATGCCCCTACTTATACATCCCAAAATGCCATTGGCCTTCTTGGCAACAAGGGCACACTGTTGACTCATATCCAACTTCTTGTCCACTGTAACCTTTAGGTCCTTTTGTGCAGAACTGCTGCCGAGCCATTCAGTCCCTAGTCTGTAGCGGTGCATTGGATTCTTCCGTCCTAAGTGCAGGACTCTGCACTTGTCGTTGTTGAACCTCATCAGATTTCTTTTGGCCCAATCCTCCAATTTGTCTAGGTCCCTCTGTATCCTATCCCTACCCTCCTGCGTATCTACCTCTCCTCCCAGTTTAGTGTCATCTGCAAACTTGCTGAGGGTGCAATCCACACCATCCTGCAGATCATTTATGAAGATATTGAACAAAACCGGCCCCAGGACCGATCCCTGGAGCACTCCACTTTTGATACCGGCTGCCAACTAGACGTGGAGCCATTGATCACTACCCGTTGAGCCCAACAATCTAGCCAACTTTCTATCCACCTTATAGTCCATTCATCCAGCCCATACTTCTTTAATTTGCTGGCAAGAATACTGTAGGAGACCATTTCAAAAGCTTTGCTAAAGTCAAGGAACACGTCCACTGCTTTCCCTTCATCCACAGAGCCAGTTATCTCATCATAGAAGGCAATTAGATTAGTCAGGCATGACTTGCCCTTGGTGAATCCATGCTGACTGTTCCTGATCACTTTCCTCTCCTCTAAGTGCTTCAGCGTTGATTCCTTGAAGACCTGCTCCATGATTTTTCCAGGGACTGAGGTGAGGCTGACTGGCCTGTAGTTCCCAGGATCCTCCTTCTTCCCTTTTTTAAAGATGGGCACTACATTAGCCTTTTTCCAGTCATCTGGGACCTCCCCCAATCGCCATGAGTTTTCAAAGATAATGCCCAATGGCTCTACAATCACATCTGCCAACTCCTTTAGCACTCTTGGATGCAACGCATCCAGCCCCATGGACTTGTGCTCGTCCAGCTTTTCTAAATAGTCCCGAACCACTTCTTTCTCCACAGAGGGCTGGTCACCTCCTCCCCATGCTGTGCTGCCCAATGCAGTAGTCTGGGAGCTGACCTTGTTCGTGAAGACAGAGGAAAAAAAAGCATTGAGTACATTAGCTTTTTCCACATCCTCTGTCACGAGGTTGCCTCCCTCGTTCAGTAAGGGGCCCACACTTTCCTTGACTTTCTTCTTGTTGCTAACATACCTGAAGAAACCCTTCTTGTTACTCTTAACATCTCTTGCTAGCTGCAACTCCAGGTGTGATTTGGCCTTCCTGATTTCGCTCCTGCAAGCCCAAGCAATATTTTTATACTCATCCCTGGTCATTTGTCCAATCTTCCACTTCTTGTAAGCTTCTTTTTTGTGTTTAAGATCAGCAAGGATTTCACTGTTAAGCCAAGCTGGTTGCCTGCCATATTTACTATTCTTTCTACACATCAGGATGGTTTGTCCCTGTAACCTCAATAAGGATTCTTTAAAATACAGCCAGCTCTCCTGAACTCCTTTCCCCCTCATGTTATTCTCCCAGGGGATCTTGCCCATCAGTTCCCGGAGGGAGTCAAAGTCTGCTTTTCTAAAGTCCAGGGTCTGTATTTTGCTGCTCTCCTTTCTTCCTTGTGTTAGGATCCTGAACTCAACCATTTCATGGTCACTGCCTCACAGGTTCCCATCCACTTTTGCTTCCCCTACTAATTCTTCCCGGTTTGTGAGCAGCAGGTCAAGAAGAGCTTTGCCGCTAGTTGGTTCCTCCAGCACTTGCACCAGGAAATTGTCCCCTACGCTTTCCAAAAACTTCCTGGATTGTCTGTGCACTGCTCTATTGCTCTCCCAGCAGATATCAGGGTGTTTGAAGTCTCCCATGAGAACCAGGGCCTGCGATCTAGTAACTTCTGCGAGTTGCCGGAAGAAAGCCTCGTCCACCTCAGAGATTACTGATAAGAATGCTAGATAAGAGCTAAGGATTATTAATTATTACACACTCTTATTCTCCCCCATGCATTCTGGTCCATAGACCAGAGGCACGGAGGAACATTTGCAGGGGATGTGTAGTGGGACCCAGGCCAGCCCCCACAGGGGTCGGCAACAGAGCGCCATGCTTCCAGCCCCACTCTGCCCCCAGATCAGTTCCACCCCAACCCCATTCAGCTCCCAGTCCTGCTCTGCCTCCAGGCCCAGCTCCACCTCCAGGCCAGATCTGCCCTCATTCCCTCTCCGCCCCCAGACCAGCTCCTCCCCGTCCCCAGTTCCACCCCCAGCTCCACCTTCGGCTCATGCTCTGCTGCTGAGGAAGCCTTGGCTGTGCAGTGATGGAGGAGGGCACAGACAGATTCCATTAATGGAAAGTGGAGGGCGCGAGTGGAAAAGTTTGCACACCACTGCCATAGACAGAGCTTCCAGCAGTGTGGAATTCTGGGAGTTGCAAATCCCAGAGTCTTGCTAACTGGGAAATCCTGCCATCCATCCATCACTACAGGGTAAATAATAAACTGGCCCAGCAAAGTGTTTAGTGTGTTGCTAACAGAGTCCTCAGATGTTAACAAGAAGGGGACTCAGTTTTCCAATTCATTAAAAACCAAAATCAAACTTTTTCATCTTGTATTTTTACCTCTTCAGTGTTTGCCTTTTGAAGATGTGGGTTTGCCCTCCAGCCAGGGAGCTCTGCTAGTGTGAAATACGGACATCACAGCCCACATGGAAATGAGAAGTAGCAACCTCAATGCAAACAGAATAGCAACCAATAACAGAACTGTAGCGATGCAAGTAAAGAGAGTGGGCAAGAGACGCGTACACACAACCAGATGCTCAGGGGAAGCACTTTCTTTTCAGCATAAAAGCACATTTGTAATTAATGATGGAGATTCTGTCACTTTAAATAAGCAGCCTGCAGCTGAACCATTATGCCTGCTACGCTCTTCCCCCGGGAAATGACATTTATGATGCTGTGGGATTTGGGACATTAGTGCAAACGACTCTTTCTGTAACCTCGGTTTCACGATTCATTTTTTGTGCTGGGAATAACAACAAAAGCGTGGGGGTGGCGGACCCATGTGGAAGGGAGCTAAAGGGAGTGACGCCCATGAGGCTTGGGGAGGACTGCCAGAAGCGCTGCACAGCTGCAGCCTGACATTTAAAGAGCCCTGATTGCCAGCCAACGCCCTACTGAGCTGAGTGGGGGAGTCCGCCCTTGTCTTCGAAGCTAACAGGCCCCTCCCTCCCACCTCATCCACAGCCCCAGTGAACAGCTTTGAACAGAGAATCTAAGGGGCCTTGAAGAGGAAAAATACCTTCTGTTCCCACCCTCTAGCTCAGCGACTCCATGTTATCACCTGTGTTGCTGCCCCACTGCCCGATGGATTTGGTGGCACTGGGGCCTCTGCACATTTCCTGTGTGGGGTTCCAGGTCTGGGGTGTGCACAGCAGCACCTCTATCAAACCCCTCTCCTATTTGGGTGCAATCGCCTTGCACAGCCAACTGGGCTGTGCGGTGGTTCTGTGTGCTCAGGAGCTTCCGTGGTCCATGCCTCAATGGGAAGGGAGGAGCAGCACTTGGCCCAGAGGTATGGTAACTCCCGCAGACAGAACCTTGCATCGGAACGAGATCCCTGCAGTGAGAAGAGCTAGGGAGGGGATTTGCAAAGCTGCTGAAGGGATTTGGATTCTCAAACTCCATTAGAAAATACTGGCCAAACCCCTTGGGCAGTTTGAAAATCCCACCCAAGAATCTTTATTTTTTTCTTAAAAGAAGAAGGTCCTCAGACTCTGCAGAAAGCGACAGGGGCACTGATGAATCGGCCTGGCTGGTGCCACCATGAATTGGCTCCTCCTTGCCCTCTACAGCACCAATGTATATTCACTTCCCCCGTGCCACTCATCAGAGCACAACCACCTGGGATCCAGTCCCCCGCACCAGTGTGGATCCTGCCCTGGCCTTTGTTCGTGGGGTTCAGTATTGGTTCTCCTATTGCACATCGGGATGTTTCTCTCCCAAGCTGGCAGACTATTTTTAGGCCTTTGGAGCAGATAAATCTGTTCCCTTCCTGTGGTGGGTGTCCAGAAAATGAACCCCCTCCAGGCATGGCAACAGGGCCAGATTAACCTTTTTGTGGGCCCGGCCCCAAACAGACTTGTGGGCCCCCATGGAGGCAATGGAGCACGACGTAGGGAGGTCAGTCCGCAGAGCAAGAGGCCGGCCAGGGGCAAAAGGGCCTGGCATGGCTTGGGCAGCCCAGCTCCGCCCAGCCCAGTGCGAGGGCACTATTTACAAACCGGCAGCCGCCAGATGCACAGTGGCCTGCCCGGCTCTCTGCTGCCAGCGTGCCCCTTCCCCTCAGAGGTGAGCCCAGGCCGTGCCACACAACGCCCCCGCCCAACACCCCTCCGACTGCCTATGGCCAGAGCCCCCTCAGACTCAGTATGCCCAGCACCCCCTTCAAATCCTCCCCACAAATGCACAACACCCTGTACAACACCACCCGTGCCCAGTGCCCCTCCCAACAACCCCACCACAACTGCTCAGCACCCCAAACAGAACCCTCATTCCCTAGTAGGGTGACCAGGTATCCGGCTTTCAACTGGAACACCAGGTTGAAAAGGGATCCTAGTGGCTCTGGTCAGCATCGCTGACTGGGCCGTTGACTGTCCGGTTGGCGGCGCCATGCAGCGGGGCTGGCAGGCTCCCCGCTAGCCTCCACACCACGCAGCTCCTGGGTAGCAGCTGGCATGTCCCCCCTCTGGCTCCTATGTGTAGGGGTAGCCAGGGGGCACCACACGCTGCCCTCACCCCAAGCGCCGCCTCCCGCAGCTCCCATTGGCTGTGATACTTACCTGGCGGGGAGGTACCATGATCACAAAGGTAGTTTTCCCAGGGTGAGGCTCATCCATTACACTGCGGGTGTGCTGATCCCTGCCATTTCCCCAAATGCAGGAAAATTGACTACATAGTTTGTGGTAGTTGGGGGACTGTGTTTGCACTCTCCCCTGGCTAAATGGGGGAGGGATAGCTCAGTGGTTTGAGCACTGGCCTGCTAAACCCAGGGTTGTGAGTTCAATCCTTGAGGGGGCCATTTAGGGATCTGGGGCAAAAATTGGGGATTGGTCCTCCTTTGAGCAGGGGGTTGGACTAGATGACCTCCTGAGGTCCCTTCCAACCCAGATATTCTATGATTCCTGGCCAATGGGAGCTGCGGGGGGTGGTGCCTGCAGACGGGGCAGCGTGCAGAGCCACCTGGCTTTCCCACCGCATAGGAGCTGGAGGGGGGACATGCTGCTGCTTCCAGGAGATGCTTGAGGTAAGTGCCATTGGGAGCCTGCACCCCCGAGCTCCCCTGCCCCAGCCCAGATTCCCCTCCGAAGCCCTCAGTCCTAGCCCGGAGCACCCTCCTGCACCCCTCATCCCCAGCCCCATCCCAGAGCCGCACCCCCAGCCAGAGCCCTCACATCCTACCGCACCCCAGCCCCCTGAGCCAGCCTGGTGAAAATGAGCGAGTGATTGAGAGTGGGGAGAGCGAGCGACAGAGGGAGAGGGGATGGAGTGAGTTGGGGGTGGGGGCCTCAGAGAAGGGGTGGGGCAGGGGTCGGGGCAAGGGTGTTCAGTTTTGTGCAAGTAGAAAGTTGGCAACGCTACTCCTTAGTGCCCCAACACACACAGATCTTCCCCACCCTCTCACAACCCAGCACCCCCCGGATTCCCCACAGACCCACCCCCCCACGCCCTGCCTCCTGGCTGCACTCACTGGCCCTGCTGGGAGGTGACTGTCTGCTGGGCTGAGCCGGCAGCGCAGCCAGGGCCGGTCCCAGGGCCGGGAATCGCTCTGGCCCCTCGGGAGTGGTGCAATCAGCCAGGCCAGGGCCTGTCCCAGCTTGGCCCCCTCAGGACCCACTTGCCTGGAGGGGCCCAGCCAAGCCCCCCCCCAGACTGCCCCCTCCCCACCTCCTGGCTGAGACTGGCCAGGCTTCTGCACCAGTCCCAGGTGTCTCATCTCCAGGAAGACGGGTGGGGCCCCACAGGTGGTGGGAAGCAGAGACTGCCGGGAGCTGAGGTGCACTGGGGTCCAGCCAGGGGGCAGAGAAGCTGGCGCGTGGGGCCTGAGGGCAGAGAGGAGCCCTCAGCCAGCTGGCAGACGGGCCAAGAGGAGCAGGTCATGGTGGTGGGGAGCCAGCGGGGTCTCGGGGCGCAGTGCAAGTGGAGCAGGCCGGGGCCCCTTCTGGGCATGGGCCCGGCTCCATGGAGCCACTGGCACCATTGTAAACCCGGCACTGCATGGCAAGGTCCTTTCCAGCTGTGTCAACACTTCCAGACAGAGGGGTCCGGGTAAGAACTGCAGAGAGGGCCTGGAGTGGCATACAGAGGAGCAGGATTCCCTGGGGGCCTCACTGCTGTGTCCTGACCTTCTCCTCACTCACACAGCAACCAGGAGTAGCTCCCCTGGAGTCAATGGGGCTGCAGCGGTGTAACCCAAGTACCCGTGAGGGAAGAATTGAGCCCCATGTGTGCGTCTCAGCGCAGGGCTGGGGACCACTGCCGAGCCTTCACGTATGTGAACTGTAGGCAAGCGAGGGGGCGTCTCAGCTCTCGGAGTGGAACAGAATAAATGAAGGAGAGCATGGGACCATCCTCATCAGCCAGACTAGAGTCCCTGGCTGAGCCCAGGTCCTTCCGGGTGGTGCTGGCCTGACAGCAGGGCCAGGCTGGAGTGGGGGAATCATGGGAGGGCTGCTCTGCTCATTCCCAGGGGGCAAGGGGTCCCTCCTCCCCAAGGACTCTCAGTGAAGCTGCAGCAGCACTGTCAATATGTACCCAGGCCCCAGGCAGGGCTGAACAGCCCCGGCTGCTATCGTTCCTGGAGCGAGCTCGGGGACATCGGCCTGTGCTGCAGTCACCCCTCTGACTGCAGTGCAGACAGACCCTGGGCACAGCCCAGGCAGTCATGGGTCCAGTGCACTGCTTGTCCAGGTCAACTGCTTGTCCCTGCACAACCCTCCCTACTGGCCTTGGCAGGGGCTTTGTTCGAGCACCTTCTGTCCCCACCCTTATGGGCCACATCTCCCCCGCTTGACGATGCGTCTAATCCACCATCCATGCTTAAGGCATCTCTGCTTGGACAATTCCTTTCGAGAACCTCGATGTCACCTCCAGGTGGCCAAAACCAGCTTCAAACACAGCCAGTGCCTGTCCCATGACAGCTCCAACCGGAGGTTTGACCTTCCTCCCGTCTGTGGGGAAAGCGCAATCCCTTCAGCTGTAAAGTGATCAGATATGCTGCAAGTGAGGGTGGGTGGGGCCTTCACTCTTCCCTTTGCTGCTGTGGCCAGTTGGAAGATTTTTAGATCATATACACTGGCAGTGTGCACCCACTGGCAATGGCTGCCTGTTTCTCCCCTGGACCTGCACAATACCCTTCCCTCAGCAACTGAATGGCTAAAACATTCAGCCTAACACGCTGGACTGGAACAGCTCTGTAAACGCAGTCGCAATTAACCACCAGAGTGCCCTGTCCAGCGCTGCACAGGGCAGCCACCATTCAACCTCAGTTTCCCAGCTGGGTGGTCTTCCACTGCTCTGCCCACTATCCAGTGCCTTCTGGGTGGCAGAAACGCAGACCTCCAGCAAGGCCTCTTACAGAGCTACCCCTTCCAGGGCACTGAAAGTCCAAACCAAGTAGAAAGCAACATAACTCCCCATGCTACCAGGAGAGCCGCCTGGTCTGAGTCACAGAATCATAGAATATCAGGGTTGGAAGGGACCTCAGGAGGTCATCTAGTCCAAACCCCTGCTCAAAGCAGGACCAATCCCCAACTAAATCATCCCAGCCAGGGCTTTGTCAAGCCTGACCTTAAAAATACCTAAGGAAGGAGATTCCACCACCTCCCTAGGTAACGCATTCAGTGTTTCACCACCCTCCTTGTGAAAATTTTTTCCTAATATCCAACCTAAACCTCCCCCACTGCAACTTGAGTCCATTACTCCTCGTTCTGTCATCTGCTACCATTGAGAACAGTCTAGAGCCATCCTCTTTGGAACCCCCTTTCAGGTAGTTGAAAGCAGCTATCAAATCCCCCCTCATTCTTCTCTTCTGCAGGCTAAACAATCCCAGTTCCCTCAGCCTCTCCTCATAAGTCATGTGTTCCAGACCCCTAATCATTTTTGTTGCCCTTCGCTGGACTCTTTCCAATTTTTCCACATCCTTCTTGAAGTGTGGGGCCCAAAACTGGACACAGTACTCCAGATGAGGCCTCACCAATGTCGAATAGAGGGGGACGATCACGTCCCTCGATCTGCTGGCAATGCCCCTACTTATTCAGCCCAAAATGCTGTTAGCCTTTTTGGCAACAAGGGCACACTGTTGACTCATATCCAGCTTCTCTTCCACTGTAACCCCTAGGTCGTTTTCTGTAGAACTGCTGCTGAGCCATTCGGTCCCTAGTCTGTAGAGGTGCATGGGATTCTTCTGTCCTAAGTGCAGGACTCTGCACTTGTCCTTGTTGAACCTCATCAGATTTCTTCCCCTACTAATCCTCTAATTTGTCTAGGTCCCTCTGTATCCTATCCCTACCCTCCAGCGTATCTACCTCTCCTCCCAGTCTAGTGTCATCTGCAAACTTGCTGAGGGTGCAATCCACATCATCCTCCAGATAATTTATGAAGATATTGAACAAAACCAGCCCGAGGACCGACCCTTGGGGCACTCCACTTGATACTGGCTGCCAACTAGATATGGAGCCATTGATCACCACCCGTTGAGCCCGACAATCTAGCCAACTTTCTACCCACCTTATAGTGCATTCATCCAGCCCATACTTCTTTAACTTGCTGGCAAGAATATTGTGGGACACCGTGTCAAAAGCTTTGCTAAAGTCATGGAACAACAGGTCCACCACTGTCCCCTCATCCAGAAAGCCAGTTATCTCATCATAGAAGACAATTAGATTAGTCAGGCATGACTTGCCCTTGATGAATCCATGCTGACTGTTCCTGATCACTTTCCTCTCCTCTAAGTGCTTCAGAATTGATTCCTTGAGGACCTGCTCCATGATTTTACTAGGGACTGAGGTGAGGCTGACTGGCCTGTAGTTCCCAGGATCCTCCTTCTTCCCTTTTTTAAAGATGGGCACTACATTAGCCTCTTTACAGTCGTCCGGGACTTCCCCCGATCTCCAGGAGTTTTCAAAGATATTGGCCAATGGCTCTGCAATCACATCCGCCAACTCCTTTAGCACTCTCGGATGCAGCGCATCCGGCCCCATGGACTTGTGCTCGTCCAGCTTTTCTAAATAGTCCCGAACCACTTCTTTCTCCGCAGAGGGCTGGTCACCTCCTCCCCATGCTGTGCTGCCCAATGCAGTAGTCTGGGAGCTGACCTTGTTCGTGAAGACAGAGGCAAAAAAAGCATTGAGTACATTCGCTTTTTCCACATCCTCTGTCACTAGTTTGCCTCCCTCATTCAGTAAGGGGCCCACACTTTCCTTGACTTTCTTCTTGTTGCTAACATACCTGAAGAAACCCTTCTTGTTACTCTTAACATCTCTTGCTAGCTGCAACTCCAGGTGTGATTTGGCCTTCCTGATTTCACTTCTTCAAGCCCGAGCAATATTTTTATACTCATCCCTGGTCATTTGTCCAATCTTCCACTTCTTGTAAGCTTCTTTTTTGTGTTTAAGATCAGCAAGGATTTCACTGTTAAGCCAAGCTGGTCGCCTGCCATATTTACTATTCTTTCTACACATCGGGATGGTTTGTCCCTGTAACCTCAATAAGGATTCTTTAAAATACAGCCAGCTCTCCTGGACTCCTTTCCCCCTCATGTTATTCTCCCAGGGGATCTTGCCCATCAGTTCCCGGAGGGAGTCAAAGTCTGCTTTTCTGAAGTCCAGGGTCCGTATTCTGCTGCTCTCCTTTCTTCCCTGTGTCAGGATTCTGAACTCGACCATCTCATGGTCACTGCCTCCCAGGTTCCCATCCACTTTAGCTTCTCCTACTAATT